GAATTAACGGTGTGTGGATTTTCTTTTCTTTTTTTCTTCTAAGTATTATTATTATTATTATTATTTAAATTTTTGGTCTTTTTTGAGATAGGGTCGCCTTGTAGCCCTAGCTGGCCTGTAATTCACTATGTAGACCAAGCTGGCATTGAACTCACAGAGATCTGCTGGGACTAAAGGCATGCGCCACCACACCTGGCTTATTTATTATTTTTTCGTGTATGAGTATATTGCCTGCATGTGTGTAAGTGCATCCATGTCATACAATGCCTATGGAATTCAGGAGGTGGCATCGGATCCCCTGCAACCAAGTTACCAATGGTTCTTTGCTGCCATGTGGGTTCTGGGAATTGAACCTGGGTTCTCTACAAGAGCATCCAGTGCTCTTAACTATTGAGCCATCTCTCCATTTTGATTTTCTTGAAGGGCGTTTGTGCTTTCCAAGAGAGGCAAGAGGATTGATAGTCAAATTATGCAGCTGGCAAACAGACTGGGTAATAGACATATTTAAACAGATTGCTGTCCTTCCCCCCACTTTTCCCTGTCCCCTTTCAGTTTGTTTTACCAGGTTTGGGGTAGGGGTTGGTAATTTTCCTTTCTACAAAGTTCCCTAGTGATGCTGATGTTCTTGAACTATATTTGCTAATCCATTAATTTAGATTTATATGCTTTTCTCCAGAAGTACATTTTTGAAATGGTGGCAGACACTGTAAGTGTAATGGGCTCAAAGGCCCGCTTGTTAAATCTTTGCAGATGCAGTCAGCTAGATGAGGTCAGACTGGAGCAAGGTAGGACCTTAACCCAGTATGATCAGTGTCTATGTAAGAGTCACAGAGACACAGATACAGGGATGCCATGTGGCCAAACAAGTAGAAACGAAGTCCTGTAGCCAGCCAGGAATCACCAAGGATTTCTAATACATGAACAGTTGAGGAATTCTACTATAAAGACTTCAGGTGGACCACAGCCCTGAAGATACCTTGACTTCAGATTTCTGGACTCCAGAACTGTGGTGAGTTATCCAAATACTTTGTTCCAGCAGCAAATGTGATGGATGTCACTGCTACGGCTAAGCTACATTATCACAGGGCTGTGTACTTAGCCCCTGTGAAGATAACATTTGATTTGAACAAAACAGTCCAGTGGTGACAGAAAACCTCTGGTGGCTCCAATCCAACAGCCAGTAAGAAGCTGACGCTCTCAACTCTGAGTTGTAAGTACATCCTACTACAACCTGGATGCCCTGAGGAGGGTATCTAGCTACGAGCAGGGCTTGGCTACGACATGGGACTGCTGGCACCTTAAGATCCTCCTGGATGGACACCTGCAGAGATTCAGCACTATAGCTGGGGATCTGCTGTGGTCCGAGTGTCCCCTATAAGCTCATGTGTTGAACACTTGGTCCCTGGCTGGTGTTGCTGTTTGGGAAGGTCATGAAACCTTCAGGAGGTGGCGCTTCGCTGAGGGGAGCATGTAACTGGGGGCTTTAATGTTTTCTATCTCAGACCCATCTTATTCTAGTCCCTCTCTACTTTTGGACTGCCCTTGAAGTGTGACAAGCTGGCTTCATGTTCTTGCGGCCAGGCTTTCCTTGCCATGATGGACTCCATCCTCTGGAACTGTAAACAAAGTACACTCTCCCCTAAGTTGCCTTTCTCAGGGCACTTTATCACAGCAAAAGGAACACAACCAGTACAGGGCTGACACGCTCTGCTGAGCTGAATCTGTCAGCTGGAGAATTTACATGTAGTTAGTACACTACAGTGGTTTCAGGACAGTTGGGATTTTACATGGTAGCTGTTTTCCCATAGAGCAACTGTCCCAAAAGAAGTGGGCAAACTTTACAGACCTGGTAAGGGCTTTTCGGACCTTTTATTGGGGATAAACAGAACTGTGGCATCAGTGCTGTTATTTCTGTGGTTTGAAGCAGTCATCAGCCTATGTAGAGACAGGTGCCAGACTTCATCTCTTCAAGAATGAATGTCGGGGGCTAGAGAGATGGCTCAGTGGTTAAGAGCACTGACTGCTCTTGCAGAGGACTCGGGTTTGATTCCCAGCACCCACATGGCAGCTAACAACCATCTGTAACTCCAGGTCCAGAGGATCTGACACGTTCTTCTGACCCCTGTGGGCATCGCACAACATGGGTGCACTCACATACATGTAGGCAACACATACACATCAAATAAAAATATTAAAAAAAGAATGAATACCAAAGAATGTGGGTATTTTAAAACTGCATGCTTGTTATTGAGGCACACTTAACGTATAAGAAAGCACACAGATCGTTGTGTTGAATTCAATAGATTTTAATGATTTTTAAAATTTATTTTTATTAATCCCAGCACTCGGGAGGCAGAGGCAGGTGGATTTCTGTGAGTTTGAGGCCAGCCTGGTCTCCATTAGTGAATCCAGGCCAGCTGTGGCTACAGGGAAACCTTATCTCAGAAAGACCAAAAAAAAAAAAAAATTAAAAAAAATTATTTTTATGTGTTTGAGTGTATTGCCTGCATGTGTGTTAGTACTAGTGTCGTGCAGTGTCCAAGGAGGCATCGGAACTCCCCTGGAACTGGAGTTACGGATAGTTATTAGCTGCCATGTGTTTACTGGGATTCAAAACTGGGTCTTCTGCAAGAACAGTCCGTACTCTTAAGTGCTGAGCTATCTCTCCAGCCCCTGATTTTAATGATTGTACAGACTCATGAATCTACTACTTGAAGGTACCGGACATTTTTTTACTTCATAAAGTTCTATCTTGATCTTTCAAGTCTATTCTCAGTTCCCCCGTTCTATAAATATAAGTGGAATTATACACTGTATTTGTGTGTCCAGATTCACTCAATGTAAGGCTTTAAGATTTATCCATAATACTGCTCATATCACTTATATTTTATTGCTAATTCATCACTGTATAAATATTCTCCAATTTTTAAAACTTAAATTTCACTTCCAATGTGTGGTCATCATGAACCAGAATTTATGAATATTCTTGTTTCTGTTTTGTTTTGTTGAGATAGGGAACCCTGGTAGCCCCAGCTTGTCTGGAATTTGCTATGTAGATCAGGTTGGCCTTGATCTCACAGAGATCTGCCTGCTTTTGCCTCCCATGTGCTGGGATTAAAAGCGTGCATCACTATGCCCAGGATGAATATTCTTGTGCACATCTCCAATGCTATTGAGGTATTTCTGAAAGTACTGTTTCTTATTAATCAAATTCATAGTTTGAATGCCCAAAGACTTTTGGTATCATTTACCTCTGTAGATGATGCAGATTTGCTATCTGCTATCATTATGCCTTTAGGGATTAAGAAGAGCACAGTTTATACTACAAAGAACAGAATGGTATCATAATGTGAAAAACCACACTCCACTGTTCATCAGCGTAGCTACATAAATGCTCAGCATGAATTATAGTTGCCTAAGATTAAAAAACATGGAAATTTCATCACAAAACCAACTTTTCCTCTTCTTTAGATTTCATCTCTTAAGAGGCTAAGATATAATTGAGAGTGAGTTGTTTTGAACCTTCCTGTGTTGGCGGACTGTAAGTCTAGGCTCATTTATGACATGTGGGTTCTTTCTAGGTAACCTCAACCGTAAGACATTGCTATTGTCATCAAAGGAATCACCCTAAGAGTAAAGTAACTCCCCAAAGCAGTCACCTTAGGAGTGAAGGTGACTGTCTCTCAGGGAGTTTGGAATTCCCTTAATAGAAAGCAACATAGGTACAGGATTCTTTGAAAGTTACAGACAGTCCTATTTAGTAGAGGACTGAAGAAAATCTAGGTGAAGATACTTCAAACCGTTGTAAGCTTGGAAAGGAAACTTTTTTTTTTGGTCTTTTTTGAGACAGGGTTTCCCTGTAGCCCCAGCTGGCCTGGAACTCACTATGTAGACCAGGCTGGCTTTGATCTCACAGAGATCTACCCTCCTCTGCCTCACGGGTGCTGGGACTAAAGGTGTGCATCACCATGCCCAGCCAGGAAGCTTCTTTTGTAAGGCCAGGACCTCTGCTATGGACAGGAATAGTTTGTTAGGTTACTGAGATGATTATCTAGGTTCAATAATAAGATTGGTAGAATAGATCTGTCCCTTAAGATTCTGCCCAGTGCCGCAGAATGGAGATTAGCTGGAATATGTGTAAGAAGAAAAGGTCCTTGAGATTGATAAGGGATTGGGATTTTTTTTTAATTTATTTTTATTTTATGTGTACAAGTGTACCCATGTCATGCAGTGTCCAAGGAGGACAGAAGAAGGTATCATATCCCCTGGAACTGGAGTTACAGATGGTTGTTAGCCACGATGTGGGTGCTGGGATTCAAACCTGGTCTTTTGCAAGAGCAGTCAGTGCTCTTAACCAATGAGTCATCTCTCTAGTCCCAGGGTTTTTTTTTTTTAAAGGCTTATTTTTAAAAAAAATATTTTTATTTTATGTGTATGAATGTATTGCCTGCATGTAGGTAAGTGTACCCGTGTTGTGCAGTGCCCACGGAAGACAGAAGAGGCTGTCAGATCCCCTGGAACTGGAGTTACAGACAGTTGTTAGCTGCCATGTGGGTACTGGGATTCGAACCCAGGTCTTCTGCAAGAACAACCAGTGTTCTTAACTGCTGGGCCATCTCTCCAGCCCCTAAAGGCTGATTTTTAAAAAATATTTAAAATTTTTATTTTATGTGTATGTGTGTATTGCCTGCGTGTAGGTAAGTGCACCCGTGCTGTTCAATGCCTGTGGAGGACATGAGAGGCTGTCAGATCCCCTGGCACTGGAGTTACACACAGTTGTTTGCTGCCATGTGGGTGCTGGGATTTGAACCTGGGTCTTCTGCAAGAACAACCAGTGTTTAACTGCTGAGCCATCTCTCCAGTCCCAAGGCTGATTTTTTTAAAGTCTAAAATCTGTATCTGCCATACTCAGAATAAGGTCTAGTGTGACACTAGATTAATGAGTGAACCTTGGGAAATTAGATCAAAATAAACATAAAGAAATTATGAAAAATACATGGTAACGATAAACAAGACATTTATTTTTCATACTCATTTGGGGAAAAGGGAAAAAGTTGGTTTGCACTACTAAATGCTGGTCTTTTTAGAAGATTCTCCACTTACCCTATAGAATTGGATACACTTCTTGGTTACAGAGGGTTTGCACTCTTAATTCATAAAAATAATTTCTTCTGAAGAGTGGCTACAGAGTGAGCCTTTGTGAGCAGCTTCGTTGGTGCACAGCCAGACTCCCTCTCTGAGTGAAACTTTTTCCACACTGGCCACACAGATAGGGTGTCTCTCCTGTGTGGATTTTCCCATGCAGAATACAATTCCCCCTGGTGTGGAAACTCTTCCTGCAGTGGGAACACGCATAGGGCTTCAGGCCCGTGTGAACTCTGATATGGACGATTAAGCTTCCTTTCTGACTGAAGGCTTTTCCACACTGATCACATCGATAGGGCTTCTCACCACTGTGAACTCTTCGGTGAACAGCAAGGTTACTTTGATTCCTGAAGCTTCTCTGGCAAATGGCACATTCATAGGGTTTCTGTCCAGTGTGGAGTCTCTCATGGACAGCTAGACTGCCTCGCTGACTAAAGCTTTTCCCACACTCTTTGCACTGATAGGGCTTCTCTCCTGTGTGTATTCGCTGATGTGTAACTAGATTGCCTTTGGCCCTGAAGCTTTTTCCACAGTGGGTGCACTCAAAGGGCTTCTGACCAGTGTGGATTCTCTCATGTAACGTGAGACTGCCTTTTTGGCGGAAAGATTTCCCACATTCCTGACAATCATAGACCTTCTGTCTCACTCCAGGGGAGTCTTCATGTAGTATCTTAGAATCTGGGGATTTTTGTTCCAGCTTCTCTCTTCTGAAAGAATTCTGGAAATCCCAGCTTGATGATCCTGTGGCTTCTGAGTGATCATACTTGTGGTGGGCTTCTGTCATCACATCTGGTAAAATGAGAGGGAAGTCATGTAAGATGCACCAATATGCTGAATGAGAAGAACAGGGAAAAAAGAAACATAATCCTTTGAGTGCTTATGTGCCAGGCATCACACTATGAACTTTGCATACATATTAGAATATTGAAATCATTCTGAGATCACTACAGGTAAGGAAATGAGAGCACAGGGAGGTCATGTAACTACGGATAGGTACATTAGTTGGGATTCAAGTACTGACATACTGCATAGATAGGTTATTGCCTTTAAATTTAATATAGCCTCTCAAATAATCTCAAGAGGTAGACATGATTATTATTTTATACTCAGGGAAACAGGCTCAGAAAATTAAGAAACTATACAAATCACATAGACCCTCATACCTTAAGTTTTTCCCAAGTTTTATCTGACTCCCAAACAGGTATGTATTCTGAAAATGAAGTGTCTAAAGCTTTAAAACTTTAAAAGCACCCTTAAAAAAAGAGCATAAAAGGGCTGGGCGTGGTGGTGCACGCCTTTAATACCAGCACTCGGGAGGCAGAGGTAGGCGGATCTCTGTGAGTTCAAGGCCAGCCTGGTCTACATAATGAGTTCCAGGACAGCTTGGGACTACAGGGAGACCCTGTCTCAAAAAGACCCCCGCCCCCCAAAAAAAGCATAAAAATCAAGCAAAGAGCCTTGAATAGACCAATACACATGAGGGGGTCTGAGGCTTAAATTGCACTGGCTTTCTCCTGCCCATTCCAGTCTGCTTGCTCTTGACAGCTGAACATGCTCATGACCTCAGAAAACAGGCAGCAGAATCTCAGCTATTTTGTCTATGTCAAGAACAGCTTATTGTCCCATTATGCAGATGAAAAGCCTGAAGCTTAAGGACGTTAAGTAACTTTCCTAATAATGAAAATCTGATTGAAGTTTCTTCTTTTAAAAATCCAAGTTAGTTTCTATTTGGCTAGCATGGAATTGAATAAATTCATTAATTACTATTCATTTTCTAGGGAAGGCTCCTCCTTGCTCCCCTGCCTTTTTCTTATTCAGTGATAGTGCTGAGACTTAAAGGTATTAATCCATCCTGAGGCAACCTCCAGACTACCTCCATAGTGAAACTTTGCTTGCTTTGTTTCGGTGACTATTAGTTCTAATTCCAGCTTGCAGACTTTTCCCATAACCCTGAACAGTGAGGTTCACCAAATGAACGCATCCTCTGCTTCCTCACACTGCTGGTCAGGGCTGAGGATAGTGATTCGGAAGGTATTCCAGCAACCAGCTGACTCACTCACTGAAAAATGCTACATTCTGGGCATATCTTCCATGACAGTCCAGCAGGGTAGCTGTCGGAAACCCAAACATGTCCACTCCTGCTCTACGCCTTTTATCACCAGCTCTTCATATGATTCTTCCATGGGCTGGTCTTGAGTACCTGAAAGACAGAAAACAAATGAACCAAAGCAAAACCAGAACAAACAGCAAAGAGCAGAATAGAGAATCAAGAAAGAGAAAGTCAACAGGGGCTCCAGTTTGGGTGTGAATAAACAGGCAATCTGGACTACATGATGTAGTATCACCGCAAAATGGGCTACAGGCAGCCAGGCTGTACAAAACGCATCCAGGAACAAAAAAGCAGTGAAAAGCAGACAACATATAAACACACACGTCTGCTGATCACCAATGGTCACCACTGTTTGTACCTAGCATGAGGCTAGGATTGGCTACTTTCTAGGTAACTGCTATCATTTCAGCCTTCACAACTGACATCCTGCTGGAAGAGCTCCGATTCGCCTTTTCTAGTTCCAAGGATTTAACAAGGGATTTCTTGTTGCCTTTTAGCAATTCTTAGCAGGCTCCACACCCAAACCACCACTTTTTCCCTCTGGAATTATTTCAGGATCCAAATTCTTGAATTTGTACACTTTATTTAAGCAGTAGTACACAATATGATGTTTCTTTCTAAGATGTCCAAAGTGCCAGACTCCAAATTTAATGAATCAGCACTCTGATTTTTGTTTTTATTAAGGAAGTATCTGACCCTTCTACACAATCAGTTATATATTGTGATGACCAAGAACTGTGATTTGAAGGATCCACTTCCAACTTGGAACACATGCTACAAAGGCATCCCCCTGTCACAGTGCAAATACATTCACTTAAAAATTCAAGTGATCAAAAAACCATTTAAAAGAAAAAAGCAAAAACCAAAAATCACGGTACCTGCTGCTCCCAGGCAGTATAATTTTATTACCAGGGATTCTAGAAAACATGGTTTGGTCAAAATAAATGGGTAGAATGTATACTTTAACCTCTCCACCCAATAGGAGGTATCAACTCAGCTGTCTCCAGAAACTTCTTTATTAATAAGAGTAATTGACAACAGGAAATTGTCAACAAGGGAGAACTCTCATCATAAGTCCCAGGAATCAAATTCTTGAGGATGGGGGTGGGGGCAGAGGAAGGACAGGTTTGCTGCTGCCCCAGCTGGCCTGGAACTCACCATGTAGAACAGGCTGGCCTCAGAGATCTGCCTGCCTCTGCCACCCCAGCGCAGCGATTAAAGGCATGCACTAAAACATCCGGAACATCCGGGCGAGAAAGTGTTTTCACAACACAAAACACTGCTTTTCCTATCAGAAACGCTCAGAATTAAGCAGAGAGAACTGGATTCTTGCATAGCTGCCCTCTCGGCAGTAGGACCTCGAGCAAGGCAAGCCAACTGCCCTGACCTATAGTTTCTTCACTTAAAAGAAGCAGGATAAGATCTCATCAAGCAGCTTGTTCGAGAACAGATGACGCAAATATGAGAGGGACCCACCCTACTGAGTCAAGGCCTAAAGTGGGGTATTCTCCGGCTGTCAGGAGGGGACGGAGTGCAGAGCAACCTGTGCGGTCTGGGGAACCCAGGGACGGATGAGGAGCTCGGGGTGAGGCCGATTCTCCCACACTGCCCTCGGGTCTGTCTCCCTTCTCATCTCCCCAGGCGCCCAAGGCTTCTTCCTTCCTGTCGTCTCAGGCCCCCTCTGGGCCTTCTCCCACGGTCTCCGGGCCCGGGCCCCCCACTTCGCAGCGGGGCCCCCTCCCGCCGCAGGCCCCGACCACCC